TCTTCACAGGAAACTCAGTTAGGTTTAGGCAACAAAATGAATCAGTTAGGTTTAGGAATAGATTGTCGTTTGGGTTAGAACAGGGGTCGGCAACCTTTACTATCCAAAGAGCCATTGAGCGTCCACACTATGCCGGAGTTTTCAAAGCACCGAATACGGATACGTTTGAAAACTCTGCAAACTTATACTCGGAAAACACGACAAAGCAACGGGGTTGCTTTGTCGTGTGGACGGCGTAAATGCATACATTTGGAAACGATCACGTGTCCACTACTTGATTGGTTCTTAGCAGTCACGACTGTCCTTCCCTGATTCGTCACGCCCCTATCACGTGACCCTTACCCGGAAGGGAAACTATAAAGGAACAAAACAATGATTGCTCTCCAGTAGGACAGACTTCAGACACCAGCAGAGCTACGAATGAGAACAGACAACAACGAAACTGAGGGAACTAGTGAGAGATGTGTGTTGACCACATTTATGGACCCATAATCTAGTAGACCTTTATGTGTAAGTGTTCATTTTGAAGTAAATTTGATGTGAGAGAGAGAGAGAGAGAGAGACCCGCAGCGCTGTAACTGAGTCTGAAAAATAAAACTTTCCACGAACTGTCTGTTTGAGTTTATAGAGGACTATTTTAGAGGAAGATCTTAAGTATCAAACACGACCTTTCATTATTAAAGACTACTTTATTACTCTGTCGTATTTTTTTAACTAAGCAACCAATCTACTTCCTGTTTACACCGGCACCCACCTGCATGCCCAGTGTACGTTAATAGTCATGTGATATTTCAGCCGTTTTAGTCTGGACAGAGATCATCTTGAAAACGATGCTGAAACGCCGTGTGGACGGGGATCGTTTTTTGTTTGTTAAAACGAAAACGTATTAGTGTGGATGTAGCCTGTAGGCTCCGGAGCCGCGGGTTGCCGACCCCTGGGTTAGAATAACCACGGAAGGGCCGTCACAGAAGTACTCAATTTACGTGCCAAAAACATTAACTTTTCGTTTCTCATCTCATTCTTGTTCAGTTTCTAAAAATGTTAAACTTTAAAATACTTTAAATCACTTTAACAGACACGTGTTCCCACAGAAGGTAAATACAGTAAAGGGCAGGAGAGAGTGAAAACCAAGCAACAAATCCTTTACCAGGAAAAACGACCAACAATCAAAAAGCTAAATGCGCTCTTAACGTGCAATCAGCATTGCACAACAATATAATAAAGATTAATCGACACCATAAAAGACTTGACTTGACTGAGCTCACTGGCTGCACGGTGCAACTCTACCCCCGTTCCTCACTCACGTTTTATTCCTTCTCTCTGGCACTTTGCTGCACTAAATCACCAGCTTTTTATTTGTCTCTGAGGTTGTGCGTGGGTGTCAGCGCCCTGCTATTTCACGCTTCTCGGCCATGTCACCAAACTAGACTCTTACCGTGTGACGGAATGCGTCTTGAAAGTATATTGTGTGTTTGTGTGCTTAATGCACACAAACACACATCCGCCCACGTAGACGTACAACCGTAGCAGTGAAAGCCTCAAAGGAGAGCACATAGAGTTTGACGACACGTGGGAGGCCAACGAGAACTCATGCGAGTCAGACCACTGGTCGGGTTTCACAGCTCGGGCTCTGCAGACATCGCTGCCGTGTCAAATGATTTAGCGATAGCACGGGCTGCTGCGCGTGCAGTTGTTTTGACTACGTTTTGGGTTTCAGACGTGTGGGGGCTGCCGTTGCTGTTGTTTGCAAGAAAGGGGGGATGTACTGTATGTGCAGACTGGAGTTTGATCCTTTACTTAATGTAAGAGGTGGACGTAGTCACCGTGACGTTACCCAGTGGGTTTGTGGAAGGCTGATCTGCTAAATAGATATTTTATAAGGAGCAGAGCTCAAGTGTAAGGAGTGTTAGCGATGTGATGGATAACAGAATTTTTTTGGATGCTCATGAATGAATTTTTCCAAATCACAGAGCGTTGCAATTAGCTAGTTCATTTATTTTAGAAAAATCGGAACCAGAAAGCCAACATTTTTTCAGAAAGACTGAAGAAGAAAAAAATCTCTACAAATCATTGTATCGAGTTAAAGCAGCTAGGGGAACAGCTGCAAACTTGGGCGTCAACAGGAGCTCGCTACTGTTTATTTCAACCAGAAGAGTAGGAAAGGCTGATGTACATGGTGCAGAGCTGGAAGGAATTAGGTGTTCTGCTTGGTGAAGCTGGACCAGAGTTTTTAAAACTCAGCTGAAGGAGATCCTTCTGCACCACAACACCTGTGTACTATACACAGCTTTCAACCCACCCTGTAAGGCTACATCCATACTACTCCGTTTGTATTTGGAAGCAGATTTGTCAAATAGAAACGATCTCCGTCCACACGGGCATTTCAGCATCATTTTCGAATTGATCTGCATCCACACGGCAACCTTCGAAGACGGACAGCACGTGACCATTAACGTACACTGGGCATGCGCGTGACGGTGTAAACAGGAAGTAGATTGGTTGCTTAGTTAAAAAAAATACGACAGAGTAATAAAGTAGTCTTTAATAATGAAAGGTTGTATTTGATACTTAAGATCTTCCTCTAAAATAGTCCTCTATAAACTCAAACAGACAGTTCGTGGAAAGTTTTAGAAGTTTTACTTTTCAGACTCAGTTACAGCGCAGCGGGTCTCTCTCTCTCTCACATCAAATTTACTTTAAAATCAACACTTACACGTAAATGTTTACGAGATTAATGTCCATAAATTAATCTAAAAACAATGAGGCATTAACTAGAGAGGAGGGATAAATACGAGCATGAAAATGCAATGACATTCTACCACACAGAAATGTGGGGGCAGAACACACTCGTTTCCTCGGTGTTGTCTATTCTCACTCGTAGCTCTGAATAGCATTTACCGCTAACTGTGGCTTCTGACGTCCGCTCCATTGGGCTGATGACGCCGCTGGTCACGCCACTCGCTAATCGCTCCAATAACAGCTGCTTCCTCCACAGAAATGCAGACTTTTACTACACAACAGCTGCTAGTACAGACAACAAAGCAAGCAACGCTTGAAATTAGTTATCCATGTTGAAATGAATCACTGGTAGCCCAGTTTGTTTTCTTCCGGGTACGGGTCACGTGATAGTGAGTGTGACGAATCAGGGAACGTCAGGAGTGTGACGTCATGGCTGCTAAGAACCAATCCAGTAGCGAACACGGGTGTGGGCGTTATTTTTTCTAAACGCATCAGTTTCCGACCGTCCACACTGAAACGCAACCCCGGAGTTTTCAAACACCTCCAACCTCGGGGGTGTTTTCAAACTCCTCCGTTTAGGGTGCTCCAAAACTCCGGCGTAGTGTGGCCGCTCAGTGTAAACGTAGCAAAACATATGTTTCCAAACGTAAGCAGAGTAATGTGGACAGGGCCTTAGTCAGCCTTACTTGAACTCAAAAGCCACCCGGAGAAATCTTATTTTCTGCATGTTTAAGCTCTGAAACCTCCAGTCTGACCTGGGTTTCTAACAGCCTGGCCTACCTAGGCTATCGGTCAGGGGGCTTGCAGCCAGAGCGGGCAGGTCTGAACAGGTCACGGACACAAAGGCGGCTGTAGGAAAACGATAGGGGTGAGATTGTGCTGCAAGTCCAGGCGGCTACCACATGCAATGCCTTCCAACCAGCCCAGGGTGACAGTATCACACAATGTGACTGTATCTCAAGGGAAATGATGCAATACAAATGCAGATTTTTAGCCTGTCAAACATGAAAAGAGCATCCAGTAAATGAAAAACGGGGTTGCCATAAGTTTATGATTAGCCAGTTTAGTCATTTTGTTTCGTAGACCTTGTGAATCATTTGTTACACGGAATCAACTTCGCAGGTTTATCCACTCGTCGCTTACTTCCTGAATCTAAAGCATACACGACAGATCAGAAAACACTCTTTGATGCATGAATGAATAAGATTTATTGCGTCTTTCAGGAAATCCTTGTGCACAGTGTTTTTTTAAAAGATTCTGTGAGATTTTGGGGTTTATGTATCCGAAGTGGTTTTGATGTAAGAAAGTGCTGTAGCTTGGCACAGGCTGCCTATTAATTCAGTTAATGCAGTCAGGATGCACCAATACATTTCTACAAATGTATTTATTTCTTACATTTTGTTTGAAGTCAGGAAAGCGATGTTTAAGTCAAGCCTGATGTTGCTCTACACAAACGAATTATCTCAGTCCATCGGTATTGGCGCAAAGCCCAGGTATCGGTATCGGGACTGACAAAGTCGGATCAGTGCATCCAGACCAGGCGGCAACCTCCGGTTCTGCTGAGTGAAGCCAATGTGTAAATGTCTTAAAACTTGCATTCTCTCTACTGACCAGCAGGGGGCGACTCCTCTGGTTGCAAAAAGAAGTCAGATTGTATAGAAGTCTATGAGAGAATGACTCTACTTCTCTCTTGATTTATTACCTCAGTAAACATTGTAAACATGAGTTTATGGTCTCAATCTCTAGTTTCAAGTCTTCTTCAATACAGCATGATGTTCATTTAGTAAATGATGGTCCATTTAGAGTCAAACAGACCATAGAGCAGAGTATGCTTTAGGGCGGGGCTACTGTGATTGACAGGTTGCTGCCGCTACCAGAGACGTATACACTATCTAAGTCACTTGTCCGCATTCCAAATATAATAACTTCTGTTTATCGTTTGCAAAAAAATCCAACATGGCGAAATCGCCAAACTCGAGGCTTCAAAAAGACTGTCCACAAACCAATGGGTGACGTCACAATGACTACGTCCACTATACAGTCTATGATCCAGAACATCAATAAATATGTTTCCATCGCTAATTGTTGCATAATTTATTCATTAACCTCAACTGTTTTTTCTGCTTCAAGTCAGAACAAGAATATTGCACTGAAGAAGTGGTATTAAAATTGCTGTATTTTCAGTTTGAGAGCAGCACTTGCCTGAAGCATGAAGCTAACCTGATGAATACTTTCTGTTTGTGTGTGTGTGTGTTCTGCAGGTATGCCCTCTTTCTTCCCGATGAGTCAGCTTTGTAAGTTCTGTGATGTGGAGCCTTCCTCCTGCAGCGGTACAGGCACCTGCATGTCCAACTGCTCCATCACATCCATCTGCATAGACAGCAACGAGGTCTGTGTCTCCATCTGGTAGGTACCCGAGAGCAGACTGCCAAACCCCTCATCCCTGAGATGGGACTTAACCAGATCAATCTTAATGGATGCAGTTTGAACAATCGCCTCTCTGCTCTGCCCGTCTCGCAGGAGGAAGAACGGGACCGACTTTTCCGTCGAAACCCTGTGCCACGACCCGTCCCAGCCGCTCTACGGTGTAATGCTGGACGACTACAACAGCTCCGTCTGCGTGATGAAGGAGAAGAACATGACGAACGGGATGGCACACATCTGCTCCTGTACGGACGAGGACGAGTGTAACAGCCAACTCTTATTCACCCCCGGTGAGTGCACAATGAAGCGAACTCCCTCTACTGAAGTTAAAGCTGCACTTATCAGTGTATTTATTTCAACCGTGGATTAAAACAACTATATCTAATGTGAACTAAGGCCACTTTTAATGATGAAATCATGGAGAATTATCTCTGCAGTTGCCCTCTGCATTTAGCATTAGCATTATTATTTTAGCATCTTTCAGTCAAACAGACTGAAACTGTTTTGGCTTCACTTCTGGGTAAGTATATAGTATAATATATATATATATATATATATATAGAAGCCTCGAGTTTGGCATTTTTTGGATTTTTTTTTACCGTATTTGGACAAGAGGTTGAAGCTTGGGAAGAGCAAGGCCTGACATGGGCAGTTAGCGTTAGCAGCTAATGCTACTACAGCTTTTGTTACTGCAGTGACTTTCTGGGCTTCTGGAATAACATTTCCAGAGCCTCTTGATATTTATCTATTTATTTATGCATGTATGTATGTATGTATGTATTTATTTACTTACTTACTTACTTACTTGGTTACCAAGATCAGTCTTGTACAGCCAGGGGGAGTATTTCCCCTCTGACAGCCAAGCTGGATCAAAACCTGTCATCCGGTGGTGACTGGACTTTAGCTGCTTGTCAGGGGCAGGGCGTGCAGCACTTGGGTTCTTTTCTGTACTTAGCAGGAGAGCGAGTGTTGCCATCTTCACCACATGGGAGCGTTTAAAAAACGCAGATATTGTTGTATGCTTTTCAGGTGGTTGATGCGACATATTTTCCGACGCGCACTCTCTGTCCGCTGGTGGGAGTGTGCTCACCTGTGTGTGGGCATCGGGGCGGAACTCCGCCATGCACGATACAGAGAGCAGAGGAGAATTGTTAACACGCGACCATGTAGAGACAGAAATGACATGCCGTCGTGTAAATAAGATAAATAACATAAGGCCAGTAGCAGCTGGTGGAAAATTTTCTAGGTAGGGCAATCCTATAAATTTCAGCAAACATCCCAGTATGATTTAATGCAAAAGAAATTCAGTATCAAACACGCATTACTACTTTGCAGTTAAATATTTAACATTTATTCCAACACGAAAAAAAGCAGTAAATAACACTTATATAATATAACATAATATAATATAACATGTTTATTTATTGAGATGCCCCTATGGACCTTGTTAAAGGAGGTAAAGATCAGGAGAAGTAAACATGAAGTGTAATTGGGAATACTGATGTTAAATTAAGCTATGATGAGTTTTCACTGTTAATTTACCATCTCAATTAAATGTTGATGCCTCCATGACCAAGTTAAGCAGATGAGACTGAGGACAACTATGTAGAAGAAAAGATGTTCCCTTTGCCTAATATGTAGCTTGACAGAGTTCTCCATGTGTGTCCAGGTGTTCTCATGTTTCCTTACCTCCTCATCCCCCTAACTGTCCATGCTGGATCTGTCCCCGTTGTTTTAAAAAGCTAAATAAGTTATTAGCATGACGTCATCTTGCCAAACCTGTCTGGTGTACAGCTAGTACAGAAGCTTCGAATGTACAGCTTCCCTTTCCCGCTAGTCTGCTGTCTGATTGTGGGGTCAGGCTGATCTGATATCAGCTCTTTGGCCTGCAGGATCTCCGCCAAAGTTCTCCTCTCAAACGAGACTTGGAGGAGTAGTGCTCGCGCTGGCGCTCGCCTGTAGAGACTTCTCCTGACGAGAACGGGCAGCTAGGGGGGCAAAAATTTTTGGCCCCACACTGAATCTATTTGAGGGCTCATCACAAACAGGAAGTGGAAACGCGGTGTTTCGCATCACACGTAAACACCGGTCGGGGGAGTCCTCAAGACAGGCAGCTGCGTGCGTTCTGTGCCGTGTGTTTGGCTGCTGAGAAGAAAAGTTGAGTGTCTGTCTCAGCATCTGTGTGTGTGTGTGTGTGTGTGTGTGTGTGTGTGTGTGTGTGTGTGTGTGGTGTAGACCAGCCACGCTGGAGAGCTCAGACATATGGTTTCCTGTCTGTGTTTAACTCAAATCAGAAACATCTCCAGCACATGGTGAACTAGACAGAGAACACCTCCGTAGTGACTGACGTTTATTTGGTCTCATTTATAAAGTATGTGTAAATGTCAATAACACACGCCTAAAACAAAGTTGTGATTTATCAAAAGCGTATCTCCTATATATGGTTGTTTTACCAATTCGAGATGATATAAGGTGACGAGGAAATTGCAGTTCATTTTACGCACAAATCCGCTCCTGTCACGATTTATACATATAAGGCCTGTTGGGAATTGGGCCGCCATGGAAAATGAAGTTATGTATTGACGAGGTACCTCCATTCTCACAAAACACAATCAACGAGGCAAATAACAAAGGTAAAAAAGGATCGGCGGATGGTCTTCAAATCGAATACAACCAAAAGAAGACTTTTCCTGAAAGCAACCAAAAACGGAAATAAAAAACTAACCTCACATGGCTGAAACCAGTTAATCCATATAGAAACTATATCAGTTTATTTACGAGTCCCTCGATAACCTCAAGACTAGATGCATAGAGTTGATACTTCAAATAACATTCCCTTCTAGCTTCTCAGTCCCCAAATTGCCTCCTGTGGATTGGATTCGAGATCAAGAATTCCAAAAGAGAAAGGTGGACATCTCTTCTGTCGACATCTCCGACATTCTGCAACTGACAGGTTCCTTTTAAGACAGGGCTGTTGTAGTGGATTGCATCAGATATTTACAGGCGTACCTAAGAAAGTGGCCACTTGTAGTGTATGGCAGATTATTACCTGGGCCGAATCTGGTTTCAGACCATAGACTGTATATAAGAAGTGGACGTAGTCAACGTGGCGGTTTGTGAACTGACTTTTTGATGCCTCGAGAAGTTGTCAGCCAATCAGAGCTTTGTAGGCGAGATTACACGTCTAGCAAATTGACCTAACTATATATAAAAGGTAGAAGCGGACAAGCACCCAAGCAAATGGTGACAAGCAAGGACAAGATGAACACAGCCAGTTGGGTTTATTCAAGTCAAGCTACAGAACTAACCGCTCTCAGCATGTTTCTTCAATCGTCTTGTAAAAATGTCAACTGTTCCGCTACCAAAAGCTTCTGCAAATGAGGTCAGCTGGATGGATTTGTCACTCACTAGAGATCAGTATCCCTACAGTGATCAATAAGCAACAAGCATCAAGACGAACTGGAAAAAAGGAAGCACTTCATACTAAATTCAAATTCAGTAGTTCTATCAAATGAGTGGTTTCTGTAAAAGGTAATCTATCTGTGTGTCTGTCAGTGTGCATCTCTTACCCACACACACACACATACACCCACAGAGCCCTGAGGGTAAGGGTTGTGGTTCCTTCCTCCCATTGAGGACACATGCAGCAGGAAGTCCTTGTTTGTTTACTGGACAACTGCCATGGCCTATTCCTCCACGAATGCCTCATATTGTTCTGCCCCAGCGTTACATTCTTGTGATGTGCTCGTAATAGTGTTTGTGCCTGCGGTTTATGTGAGTGAGGGTGTTTGTGCATTCAAATGCTACAAATGTCGCCACGAGGGACTGAACATTGTGATTCCGCAGCAGCAATAGATCACACCTGGCAGTGGACAACTCTTTAAGTAGAGGGATGAATGGACCCGAGAGGCATTGAGGACGCTTTGGGATCCGATTGCTTAGACCACATTCAGAGGCGGTCTAGGCCACATCGACGAACGGCCAACTTAACTAACGCGCGTGTGTGTCGTGCTACTGGAGCGCACCGGAACAACGCTCCGCCACTTTTGCACCATAAGTGAGGAAATTTACTTTCAGCAATTAGCAAAGTCCAGTTGCTATTCACACATCTTTTGTGGGCTTACGTTTTGAAGCCCCAAGTTCTGTGATTTGGCCGTCATGTTGGCTTTTTTGCAACTAATGAACAATATTGACCGTATATGGAATGCAGCAGAGTTATGGAGAGTAGCGACCTGTCAATCACAAGGTAGCCCCGCCCTAAAGCATACTCCGCTCTATGGTCTACTAAATGAACATCATGCTGTATTGAAGAAGACTTGAAACTAGAGATTGAGACCATAAACTCATGTTTACAATGTTTACTGAGGTAATAAATCAAGAGAGAAGTAGAGTCATTTTCTCATAGACTTCTATACAACCTGACTTATTTACGACGAATTATATTTTTTGTTTGCTTACCAAAAGCAGGGTAAGCGGAGACTCATTTTTCTCTTCAGCTTCTACATCAGTTTTGTACAAAGCCGGGTCAGAATTTAGGTATTTTTCAAAAATCATGTCCGTCGCAGCCAATCAGCATTATGTTCTGTCAGTGAGTGCACTTTGATATAGATGGGATCCATGTGCTCTCACTCTGAGAGCGCTGGGCCTCTGTGACACGGCAGTTGTTTCTAATTAAGATCCTGTAAAGATGATTCGGAGCAGACCGATCCCGCCTCCCAGCCAATGTCAGTTACACATGTGTTTCGGAGCTCGTGATCATAGTTTTTGGTGGGAAGGGGAGGCATTGATAGTAAATACCGCCTTGTCACAGTAACATGCAATTTGTATTAGTGCTGCATTTACAGCTGTGCTCTCGTCAAAGTCAGCTCTGCATGCTTGGAGGCCCGCTATGTGAGGAATGAGATCGGAGGTGGAGCCAATTCATTTCCGGCATGGATTCCTTCACTCGTACAGTCCAAGTTTGTGGGCAGACGCCGCTTGATTCCCCCCCCCCCCTAATTTGTTTCATGGCTTATTTTGATATCCTTCATGATGAATGAAATCTTCCACGTGACATCAAGTGGGGATTTTCAACGCCCTGGGATGATGATAAGGAAGAGATAAAAATAAGAAAAGAGAAGAATAAATTAGAAACACTTGTTGGTGCAGCCGACAAAGAGGAAGAAGACAAGATGAATGAAGGAATAAATGGCTGTTTCAACTTGTTTTTTTTCGTCTTCCTATTTTTTTACAGTTCCTCCTTAACTGTGGAATCTTGGCTTTGTCAGGGAATGCGCCAGTCATTCAGTCA